AAACTCTTTTGGGACACTCTTGTGGGACACTCTTGTGGGACACTCTTATAGGACACTCTTGTGGGACACTCTTGTGGCACACTCTTGTAGGACACTCTTGTGGGACACTCTTGTGGGTCACTCTTGTAGTCTCTTGTGTGACGCTCTGTGGGACACTCTTGTGGGACACTCTTGTGGGACAAGTTGTACTACAAGGTCGCCAGTTCTCAGCTTCCAGCTCCACCGGACAAATCGCACTCTCGCCTGCATTTCGCGCACTCAACACGCACGATCTCCGCAGAGGGTTGCGCGCGCGTGGGACAAATCGCACTCTGGCCTGCATTTCGCGCACTCGACACGCACGATCTCCGCAGAGGGTTGCGCGCGCATGGGACAAATCGCACTCTCGCCTGCATTTCGCGCACTCGACACGCACGATCTCCGCAGAGGGTTGCGCGCGCATGGGACAAATCGCACTCTCGCCTGCATTTGGTGCACTCGACGCACACGATCTCCGCAGAGGGTTGCGCGTCAAGTCTCCAAAACGAGCGTTTCGTACGAGACTTCCTCAAAAACTCACACGTCAAAGTCTGCAAAACGAGCGTTTCGTACGAGACTTCCTCCAAAAGTCAAGCGGAAACACCCATCGGAGCACACACACACATCACGCAGCCCTGCCAAGCAGTTTCGCGATTCCAGCCCCTCCAAACAACATCCGCTCACACGCCAATCCCAATGGGACAGCGACATTCACCTCTACCACAACTCACAACCTCACGATTCCCTGCGCCTGCCACGAATCTTTCCCCATCCACACGTCTAACGCGCACAAAGTACTGCGCCTGCCACGAAATGTCACCTCCCCCACACCTCGCAACCTCACGATTCCCTGCGCCTGCCACGAGAATTGCACTTCCACGCTTCAAAGCCCGCACGAAGTCCTGCGCCTGCCACGAAAAGTGACAATATCATCGCATGTGAGCTTCAACAAAATTTGCATCACACCACACGTTTGGAATGATTTCGACCCGTTCAGAGCACACTCCCATCCATCAAAATCGCCATTTCAGCTGAGACTTGTCACGAAAACAGAGCTTCGATGCCACACCCTGAAACGCAGATCCCAATGGCACGGCCACATCCAACACCCCAAAAACACGACTCTCCAAACGCTAATCCCAATGGAACTGCGCCGTAATCTGCGGATCTCACAAAACGCTGCGCCTGTGCAGCGAAGTGCATCACGTTTCTTGCGCGACATGTCCGTGTCACGCAAATCACAATGGAATAGCGGCGCAAACTGACACGTGACACATCCAGGCAAAGTCGCTTGCAAAAGCTTCCCCCAATGGCAGCAAATTTGAGACGCGACGACGACGAGAGACGACGACACGACGCAAGCCACGCGAACACAGCTCCAACCCCCAGACCCCCAACTATAAACGGGAACCCTTCGCTACGCATTCGGGAAAAACCCTGAATCGCGTTTCAATAATTTCTGCTCTCATGTCTACCTTTCCAGGCACTGCGCTGTGCATCTTAGGTCACTGGAGCGGCCAGACCCTCCTCCCTGCTAAATCGAGCCGGTCGACCTCTTGGTCGACGACTCTGTTCAAGTCGGCTGCCTTGGGATTTAGTGTGACAGATCTCACTGCATCCTGACCATGACAGGGTATACAGTATGCAGGTGTTACATGGAATTGCTTACTTGTAAGTGTGATTCTGACCATATTCTGACATACACGTCAAGCGTGTGTTTTTCTCTGTTTGCGGCTGTGCGACATCTTGAATTTCCACAGCGTTCTGGACCAATCAGCCTAGGTCAAGGGAACCAGAAGCCTCCTAAGGGCTTCAAGAAGTATTACGAAAAAGAGCCCACCCAGACTCAGAGCAGAGGTATCTTGGCGTTTTTCATGCAAGACAAGGGCTTTAAGGGCTCAGCTTTGAAGACTTGCTCTTTCCGAGTTTGCGGAAAGATCCAGCTTTCGTTCTCAGGGCTTCCGCAGCTGCCACATCAGAGTTCTGAGTCCGTGGAATTGAATGGCTAATGGCCGTTCGCAGTTTCTTCCCTGGTGGACCTTCATGTTAAATAGCCCTTTCCACCCGAGCCTGTGGAACCATAATCCACAAAATCGTCACTTGAGCCAACAGATTTCAGCGAAATCGTTGACCTCAGGAGGCAAGGAGGCGGAAGCGAAGGAGGCGAAGCCTTCGTCCAAGTGGCTCGTCGAGTGGTTGGGATTTCTCATATGGGTCGAAAAGGATCGAAGTCTATGACTTCCTCCACACTGGCCCCAAGCTAGCAGTGGTCACCGAGTCAGAGTGAAAGTAGGTGAGGGCCTGCTTTCCCACCTGACAAAGGATCATATTAATCTAAAGTTCCTGGTGCTTCCAGCATCTCTAAAACGCTTTCATCAACCATTAGGCATGAGGTGGTCTTCTACTATTTCAACCCCAAAGTCGGGCACCCACAAGCCAGCTTTCCATGAGGCAGAGAGCTGCATTCAAGAGGATCAGTTCATGATCAGACTCCTCAGCTTGGGTTTGTCTCAAGATATGCAAGCAGCTGAATTTCAGAACGCGAAGGGATTGATGCAGCGCGATCCAGGGCTTGTCCCCACGTTGTGACCAGCCTGACCTGAGATTTCTCATCCCAGGTCAGGCTCCCAGAAGGGGAAGAACGGGAAGGAACCGAAGCCTCCGGAGACTCTGATGGTGGTTGGGGGGTGGCAAAAGGATGCCTCCCACATCGAGTTCTGCTTCACAGGGACTCTGTTAGTTTTACTCAAGACTTCCGGCATTCAATACGTGTTTGTGAAAAACTGAGAGCAGTTGTTTTGCAGGCAGGGAAATCGGGGGCATTGCATGGGAATGACTTTTGGCAAAGGGGCCTTGGTTTTGGGCTCCGGTGCTTTCTTGAGGGTTGAATTGTTCAGCGGCTGCAAGTACGCTATGCAAAGAGCACAAACACTCTTGTGGCTCATGGTGACACCCTGCTGCCTGCTTCAATGGAGCCCCTTGTTGTGGAGGTTTCTTTGCGCTGTTGAGCCATGAGGGTCGACCCGGTCGATGGGTGAGAACCAGATAGTTGGGATCTGATTTTGGGATTTGTGCTGGTTTTGACCTATTTCTTCTTTGTATCATGAAACCAAGAGTGCTAGAGTGCCAAGACAACGTCGCATGTCCCCACCTCCACCTCAACAACATGGTGGTTGGGTGGTTTTGTGTTCCTCCAGATCATGAGACCTTTGTCAATTTTCTCTAGGTGATCCTTCTGTAAGCGTTTTGTTCTTGATTGAGTTGGATGTCATGCAGACAAAAACGGTCACTCAAGGCATGTTGGGACGTTGAAGATAGACTTAGCACAAGACGAGAGACATGGCTTGAGATGTGTTCCTTTCCAGTCTAACAAGCGATCAGCACTGCAACACTAGTAGAGGTGCGTGGAGGCCAGCGTTCACAACTCGAGTGCTACTAGGCGCAGGATATCCCCAGGTGTGACATACTTCTGGGAGCTTTGTCTCAGTCCACGTTTCGCTGATTTTGACGTGTGAGCCATCTGAGGAGGGCAGCCCCCAAAGACAGCAGGCCACTGGGTGAAATTGTTGCAATTGGGTTCACTCAGGCTCCTGATGGACACTATCGCATCATTGGAGCGGTTAGAGTAACCTCCCTCGTACATGTCAAGTGCACTTGTTGGCGAGCCAGCATGTCGTCATAGGATGGGAAGCACTGGGCCAAGGGGAGCTTGCTGGAAATGGAACCTTCTTGTGACAAAGTGCAATCAGACAGTGTTACTGGGCAGTCAACTTGCACAACTTATATATGACCTCAGATTTGTCCAGCCACTGAGGACAAAAGCTGCATAAAGCTGCTACAGTGTCTAGAAAATGCTCGGTAAGTTGTAACAGCGGACAGATTGCATCAGACCCTCCCTCGCAGAGCTTCACATTGAAAGTGACCTACTATGTATGACATCCACCTAGGGATGAGGACTGGTGCACTGGTGAAGCCATGGCGAGACTTGTGCACAATTCGGGCAAGCTCTTCTCCAAGTCGAGTATTACTGTATCCAGTATTCGGGTTCTGTTGTGTTCTCTTCCCCTTTTGGTTGCGGTTTGGTGCCAGCCTGACAGGGGAAGCCGCACCTGACAGTTCGGTTGCTTGGGCACAGGTCCGACTCCTGCTCCTGACAACTGCTGGCGTGCTGACTGCCATGGTTGTGGGCCAAGAGAAGAAACCTGAAGGCGTGGAAATATGAAGCAGCCCGTGAATGCCTGCAGACGACACTGTTTCAGTGTGGGGTGTTGTGCAGTGTTGTCACAATCGCAATCTGTGGAATTATTCTTTATTTGAATCCTCTTTGTTGCAGGCTTTTCGATCCTCTTTTCACTTTAAGTCACAGGAAAGCCATCAGTTTGGTTTTCGAAAATCATTCCCACAGGCCATGCCATCCACTTCCATGATTATTGCAGAACTTGATTTCTGCAGGCGAAGAAATCACCCTCCAGGAGTTGCTGAGAGATTATTTGACCAAGGGCTCAGTGGCCTCTTGGTGGAAATATTTTGCGCCCTATGCGAAAGCCTTAAAGGACCACTCAGCTGAGACACTGCTCAAAGTTGCAGAATCCATTGTGGTTTTGTTTTGAAGCACATAGGACGCTACGGAAAGAATTGGTTTCTTTGGGCATTTTGGTGTAGCCTATTCAATTGATCAAGCTAGTAGCTGTGAAGTAGGATGACTTTGTCAGCGCCAGTCAGTCATGGGGTGCAGCCTGTTTGCGCATGCCTAGTTTGAGCATGCCTGAAAGCTACTTGTCTTAAGCATGTCCAGATAGCTAGGAATCATGACCCTAGCCTAAAGACCCTTGATTGAAGGTGGACTATATGTTTGCACAAAGTTGTACTGAGCTTGCCAGCCAGCTTTGGGGAATGGCATTCTAGTGAATCACAAGCCGTGAATCACAGATTGGGGACTCATTTATCCAGCACAGTGACTTGACTACCAATTCGCTGGCCGTGTATTTTCATGGTGATGGGTGACTAGCAAGAACTCTCTATCAAGCCTACAAAAAAACCAGCTAGCCCTCAAAACTCAACACATGGCAAATACAAAGTTTCAAGGTGAATTATACATCTACCCGGAGGGAACATGCGATCAGCCCACTAAGCAAATTGCAAATAAGAAGCACGGACATGTTGCTTGCCCAAAGGGAAGGAAGCAGTCGCAGACCCTCGTCTTTTGGACCAGAACTGTAAGCCATTCGAACGGTCTGCAGACGGCCGCTCGAAGGGTTCTGCTCGGTCGAGAAGCTTCCGTGTTTGGCCCGGCAAGCGTTCCACATCTACACTAACTCAGGATACACGTACGATCCTGCGCAGGGACAAAGGCCGGTTGAATTTGATGAAGCGCCTTCACCAGCCAGGCATGGAACTGAAGCCAATTTCAAACAACAAAGCCAAAGCACATCGAAAACCCTCAGAAACAACAGGGTTTGCATACCATACGGGAGACACGTGACAAGGACCACCAAGAATATGCACAGGATCTATAAAGATGTTTGCAACAACATCAAAGGGAAACACAAGACATGGTGATGGTGCGGCAATACCAAGTTGCATTAAATTAGAAAGCCTCCAAGACACGCAATTAAGGCAAAAAGACACAGACTGATCATACGTACACAATGGGCTCCAGAGAAATGCGAATTTGAGATATTGCATTTTAGCCTCATCCCGACTCATCCCTTCATAAATCTTGCGTTTTTGGAGAAGGATGTTGAGTCAGCGTTTGTCGTGAGCCTTTTTTGGGTTTATGGGGTTTCCAGCACAACTCTCGGGACAGCCATGGCCCATCCGGGCCTGGAAAGCAGGCACCAGACGAGCCACCTCTTGCCATACTACCTCCATTCGGCAAGCAGAAACACTCTGGACAATTACCCCAGCAAAAGCAATTGGTCCAACATGAATTGATTCCGGAGTATAAGAAGCAAGGGGCGTGGAGTCTTTATAAGTGCAACGCACAATGCAGCAATCGCGTTGCGACCCATACTACTGGATTACACATTGGAAGCAAAATGTAGCCAGCCGTTCCACAATGATCAACCTGTCACATTGCCTTGGACTATATTGTGAGAATCACCAACAGTGATGTAAATTTCATTTCGTGAGCGCAATAATTTTTATCCAGCGAGCTCCCAAGAATCCAGCATGGAAAAAATCTGATCCGTTCCGGGATTAGTTCATTGTTGCAAAAGCATTAATTCGTTATTATTCCACAACCGAACTCACCCGGCTGTGTGAGTGCATACATCCATTTCATGTCAGTGCAGTGCTAAGTGGCATTCGCAACATGCCTAGGAAAAGGAATCGCGCGTTGGTTTCGGTTGGTGGTCTGGTGTTGTGTTGTGGCCTTTGGTGTTTTCTGTTTTCTTTTTCATCCCCCACTTCTTTTTGTTAAATTCTGCGTATATAGATTGACTCCTAGGTCCTAGCAGTGTACACATATACCCCTAGATTGGCATCGCAGTGATATGTGAGAGTGCTTCGGTCGAGCTTCGACCTCGGTGCCGACCCGCCACCCACATGATCCACTGAGGACAAGATCCAAATTGTCAACAAGAGCTTTTGCCGCGTCCATCTGCGATCCGACACCACCGTCACCGAGTCGTCGGAAGTTCCGTCCGCTGGAAGTGCTGCGAGGACGTTGATCATTCAGTTTCCTGGCCAAAGAACTGTATCTTTTGATTGTTTTTGCATTTCCTGAAAGTGAGGAGTCACTTTGAACAAAGCGCAATTCACCTCATGACAGAAGAGGATTGAACATAGTGAACCACCCAACTGGTGCTGTCCACTTGAATGCGGCCTGGCAGCGACTTGTGATCTGTTAGCTCCAGGGCGTTGGGATATATTTTCTCCGTCCTCTAGATGAAATTACACCACCGTAGACCCCAAACAGTTAGTTTAGAGCTTGCGACGTCCAGAGCTGGGAGACAAATGTAAAGGATTGCAAGGCAGAGACGGACACAGCAGTACAGAGCGGGCGGACACATCTTAAGAAAGAACTGAGAAGTAAACCTTTTGGGGAATTATTCTTCAAGTGCGAACATGATGCTGGTCATGCTGCTCAATCACCGGGCAGCTGACCACGTGAGGACAAGAAATAAAGCATGAGGAGCGGATGTGACATGAAATTGATTTTTGGTGCCTGACGTATGCCCTCCGTCGCAACTGAACAGAGAGATCGCTGCCACGCCGCCGAAATCCAATCCGGTCATTCATCCAACGCTTGCCCGAAAAGGAAAACAAAGCTGAGAGAGTTACACAGCGTGGCAGCAATGCAATCCCGGAGACAGTCACGCACCCCTTTCAAAGGAGCAAGAACCTTTCACACGCGAACCTGTTCCAGCGGACAGGGCAGAAAACAGCAGTGCAGGCACCAAACCTGAAAGACAAAAAGAAAGAAGTCACATGGGAGATAAATGAATAGATATGCTACATGGCCAGCGGAAAAGGGCGGCAGCACCAGTGACAGACCCGGGAAACAAATGAATAGAAATGCTGCATGGCCAGCGGAAAAGGGCGGACGCAGTGACAGACCTGGAAAACAAATGAATAGAAATGTTGCATCGCCAGCGGAAAAA